GGGTTTTTTTTGTCTTTAATCCATAATCATCAAAATTGAAACAAATAAAGGCTTGAAATATTTCACTTTGTGTGTAGTGAACTAATATAACATACAAGTTTCACTTTTTGAAACAAATTATTGAAATAAATGGACTTTCCCTCTATATTCTAATTTTTTGGCACATACCTGTAGAATAATCTAGGCTTCTTTCAAGATGGCATGGCTCGCCATCTGACCCTTCCATTAATGCTTGTCATTGCATTGTTTTTGTTGTGCCTGTTAAGTAATGTGACATATTCAAGCATCTATGATCATCTATCTCTATCTGTTTTTAAATGTCAGCTTACTTTTGTTCCCTTGCTTTTAATCAATGTTAAGTTTTATTTAATTATGTATTTATTAATTTCTGATTGAAATCACTTGTACTTTTTTGTAGTCAGGCGGTCACAATGCTGTTTATGGTTTATGGTGATGTATCTTTTTGTAAAATTTTCTGGCCAACTTGTTGATTTTAATAGTGTTATATAAATAAACCTGACTTGACAAGTGAATTCAGTTTCATTGTCAAGTAGCTCCAAATTGATTTGTCAAATTGAAGCTGTCAATCAGGTAATGATAACCTGACCTCTAGTCTGACATAGCATACAATGTAAAATTATACGTCCAGCTCTTTTGAAAAATGTTGTATGAAATAATTCACATCTATCACTTCATCTCTACATCAAGTCCACGAATCATAACAGTTTAGGTGTATGTAGGGACTGAATCTATGTCAAGTGCCTGGGAAAAACTATCTGTAAGAAAAGGAAAACAAAGGGTTAAGGCACAAATACATAGATAGTCACAGGGTTTATAACTGACCAATTTCAGACCTCGTACCGATGATGCTGTGATGTACACAGATGTTGGGTCCAATTAAATAAGTTGACCACAAATCAAGTACACCAGCAGATAGTGTTTTTTCTTTAAAAAGTAACAGGGACAACCTATTTAATTTTTTCTATTTTTCAGGGTCTTTGGTATTAAATGCTCACATTTCTGTAAAACTAAAGAGTAGGATAATCATTAGAAAAGTAGCTATATGCACATGCACTGGGCTCAACCTGTAGCAGGTCATTGTTTGGTTCGAGATGAACACTATGGAAAACTGTACAGCTCTGTGGTGTCCACCAGATGGCACTCATTAATTAGGTTATTATGGGACTTGCTGCAGTGGCTCCTGCTGGTGCTCTGTGACAAACTACTGATAATTAAACCTGGCCACAACATTAAAACCACTGGCAGGTGATGAGAATAACACTGATTATCTTGATTTAAGGGCACCTGCCAATGGGTAGGATAATCTAGGCTTCCTTCAAGATGGTGCCGGTGTGCATGGCTCACCATCTGACCCTTTGTTTGTGTTGTACCTGTTAAGTGATGTGATATCCTCTGTGGTCTAGAACCATCAATCACTTTTGGACATATGATCAGCTTAAACTGTACTCCTCCCTCATATATTCTCCATCTTTTACATCTCTATGTTCCCACTAGAATGCTTAGGTCTAAGGACCAGATGCTTCTAATAGTACCAAAGGGCTGTCTAAAATCTAGAGGTGAGTGTGCCTTTTCTTTTGTGGCCCCTACTGTATGGACAAACCTTCCTCTCCATATTCAAATAGCATCATCTCTATCTTTTTTTAAATGTCAGCTTAAAACTTACTTTCCCCTGTTCTTTTAAGTGTGATTCTGCATCTAAACATTCAGAGGACCAGTTTTTAGCTGTATTCAATCAGTAAGTAACAAGACCACATGACATATCTATGCTCCATTTACTTTGAAATTATACTGTGCACTGGAACTGACTGGTGGTCACACACCTGTCTTCATAGAGGTCCCTGCAACAGACGTCTTATTCCAAATTGTCATTGCCTGCCTTAGGTTCACCTTTTTATTAATTTGGACTGACAGAATCTGGTGTCAATGATTTTGAGCAGCTGCTATGTTATGTTGTAGCCAACCAGGTTTGCTAAGGGGAGGGATTAAAGAAAAGGTGTGGGCGAAAAAAAGGGGAGAGAAGAATTGAGAAATCACAGCATTATGAGAGAGAATGGGTTCGAGAGGGAAACAGGTGGGGAAACATTAGCTGCAAATTTGCTCATGTTTCATAGTGTTTACTCAGCATTGTATTGTTGCCACTTATGTATTGTAATATTGGCTAGGTCAAGGAAGCGCAAAATTGGTTAGTGTGGTTCTTGCTATGTGTGCAAATGTCATAAGTAATAACTGCAATCAATGCGTTCATGACATCAGGAATGCTTTGACCTATAAGTTAGAGAAAAGCCGAGAACAGTTCAAGGCAGAATGGTGTGCAGACTTGAGATGCTGGTGATAGTGTTGCACAAATATTAAATAATCAAACTTTACCACTTGCTCCTGGACTGCCAGCTCACCCTTTCTAAACAGAGTGTGTCTCCCTTTTGTTTCACCTCTGGTTGGCCTAGGGACTGTGGAAAGCAGAGAAACTTGTAGACTTCACAGGTGACTGCAGGCATCTGCCAATGCATGCACCCAAGGAGAAGAAATCTTCTCTTTTTCTAGACAAGTTGGGACATTTTACAAAATTCAATAAAAATCAAAATCTGTGTTTGAACTTTATTTAAATGACAAAAGAACAAATAAAACTTTTTTAAGTGGGTTTTAGTCTTTTTCCTGATAAACATAACTGTATTTTGTAAATACAAACAAATTTAGAATTTGAGGCCTGCAACACGAAAATGATGGGACAGAGACCTGTTTACCAAATTTCCCTTTAATGACACTTTTTAATCATTTGGGAACTGAGGATGCTAATAGAAGTTTTGCAAGTGGAATATTGGCCCATTGTTGTTACAAGACTTCAGCTGCTCAGCAGTTCATTTTCACCAGTGCCTGACTCTGCTCTTCATGATGCACCATACTTTTTCAATAGGAGAGAAATCTGGACTGCAGGCAAACCAGTCAAGCCCACACACTCTACTAAGCCACACTGCTGTAGCATGTACAGAATGAGGCCTGACATTGTCCTGTTGAAATATCCATGGACTTCCTGGGAAAAGACGTGTATGGTCGCATTCAGACTGATTTTCTATCTCTGGTGGACGAAGTTTTCCTATTCTTTACATAAGTAAAAGTAGGAATACCACAGTGTAGAAAAAATACTCCGAGATACTTAAGTAAATGTACAAAAGTATTAGCATAAAACATTTAAAGTACCAAAAGTAAAACTACTTATTATGCAGAATGGCATAGTTCACATTAATGTATATCAGATATTGGACTATTATTGATGTATTATTTTGTACATCACATTTAATGTTACAGCTGGTAAAGATGGAGCTAATTAACTACCATGCTTTGAAGTACTTTACATACTGCTGGGTAGCTGGTGAATTTCCCACCAGGGATCAATAAAGTCTTAGGATTATACTATATTTAGTTTAATTAATCTCAGCCTGAAAAGTAATAGTAACTAAAGTTATGAAATAAATGTAGAGAGAAAAAATTACAGTATTTTTCTGTAAAATGTAATGAATTCTAAGTATGATGTAGCAGGAAATGAAAATACTCAAGTACAGATACCTCAAAACTGTACTTAAGTACAGTACTTGAGTAAAAGGGTGGCCAGCCTTAACTTTACTCCGAGACAAGTCAATAATCCTGTTGACAGTACTGCAGCCTCCCTGTGTACAACACTAGATACTGTTGCCACTCTAAAAAAGAAGGCAGTGAAACAGAGGAGACATTTTTCAGTTTATAGCTTTTGTTGACGGGATCTCTAGGTCTACTATGAGTTAACTACCATCAGTTATGCAGTCTAAATTACCATAGTTGGTAAAAAGAGATTTAAACGATTTAAGCAACTTTTTGGCCAAACAAAACAAGAATGTGTGCACATAAATACAGTGTGTATCCCCCAGTTTGGTGTCCCTGTCCCAACATTCAACACGGCGTGATGTACCATCACATTCTCTATTGCTTCATGTAAATTATCGACATCTCTTAGACACCATCCAGGCTACACCACTCAAAGACATTTTACCCATGGGCCTCAACCCTGATGAATATCCTCTACTAACAGGCTATGTATCACAGGCTTTTAAAGGTTGCTGTAGTCTCGTAGTTAAGACCACCTAAACTGCTACCGAGTCAAGACCAAGATCAGAGTGTATCAATTCAGCATCAAAGTGATGCTGAAAAACGGGTCCATGCATTTGTTACTTCTAGGCTGGACTACTGTAAATGAACATAACACAAATTATGGGGGAGCTAAGGGGAACCTGACTCTGCTTAATAATATATGAGCTCACTAAAACACTTGAATTGCAGAATTTGGGGTGAGAGGTGGGGGTCTAAGGCTAAAATGTAGACATATTTTGCCATATATGCTGTTTCTGTTTTTCTGTATCTTTATCATGGGGCGGTAGGGTGACATGGTAGTTAGCCCTGTCACCTTACAGCAAGAAGGTTCCGGGTTCAATACAATTCAGTTTTATTTGTATAGCACCAAATCACAGCAGAAGTCATCTCAGGACACTTCACATAGTAAGGTATACACCTTGCAGTGTTATAGAGAAAAAAACAACAAATCCTCCTTAAGCAAGCACTTGGCGACAGCGGGGAGGAAAAACTCTCTTTAACGAAAGCAACCCCTGAAAGATCCCGGGTCTTGGTGGGTGGCCTTCTGCCTCGACCAGTTGGGGTGAGTGGATAGAGGAGAGAGACAATAAGATTAAAGCAACAAGAATTCGAGACCCAGTTGACCCGGTGCCTTTGTGTGTGGAGTTAGCATGTTCTCCCTGTGCCTGTATAGGTTCTCTCCAGGTACTCCAGCTTCCTCCCACCGTCTAAAGACATGCAGCTTGGGTTGACTGCTGACTCTAAATTGCCCTTAGTTGGGTGTGTGTGGTTGTCTGTCTTTAAGTGTTAGGTCTCTCATAGACTGGTGACCTGTCAAGGATGTACTCTGCCTCTTGTTCAATGTCATCTAAGATTGGCTCCAGCCCCTCTGCAACCCTCTTCAGAATAAGTGGTACAAATAATGGATAGATGGATGTATCTTTATCATTATGGATCATGCATAAAATTCAGCTATTATTGATTATTATTGATTATTATTGATGTTCAATTCATGCATATGGGTAATTTTGTGATAATTCATTTTAATAAAGATACCAGCATGCATGTAATTCTTACTATCATCATCAAAGCCTGGCGCAGGAGGAAATTTCACTCTAATACAAAGATCACTAAACCACTCTCTCGTAATTATCTTAAAACAAAAAGAATAAGAACAGACAATCTTCCCACACAGTCTGCACATGAATCTCTATTTATCATTTAGGCAACAGATCATTCAGTATGTTAAAAATAAAACAAGGCAGCTTAAATTTTAAGTGTCACAGTAAGTCCTCTCTTTGTGGCACACACAAGGGACTTGTTTTTCCTTCTCACATTTGTAAAACAGAAAATAAAATGTTGTGGGTCAAATTGACCCATTGCAAAGTAAAACAAAAAATAAAAACAATAGTTAAAAATATTTTATTGGTATGAAACTTCGTCTGCTTGGCTTAATAGGTGTGATCAACATATAAAATGAAAATGGTTCATTTAACATATTTGCAATATCCCCCTGCATGTTTATATTACAAAGATACTGTTCAGGTCAACATAACAGGAGGGTTAATATATGAGCCATAACACTCAGGAATACAAAGGTGTACAAATTCAGGAGGGTGTGCATAGTAAAATGGTCTCTCTCCTTGTTGCTCTCTGTGCCTTCATAGCAGAAATATGGGAGAGATATGACCTCTCTTGCTAGTTCCTGTCAGTACTCTGGCTGCAGCATTTTGGATTAACTGGAGGCTTTTTAGGGAACTATTGGGATATCCTGATAGTAAAGAGTTACAGTAGTCCAGCCTAGAAGTAACAAATGCATGGACCCGTTTTTCAGCATCACTTTGATGCTGAATTGATACACTCTGATCTTGGTCTTGACTCGGTAGCAGTTTAGGTGGTCTTAACTACGAGACTACAGCAACCTTTAAAAGCCTGTGATACATAGCCTGTTAAGATTAGACTTAAATTGACAAAGTATATAGATAGGGCTGGATCAGGTGACCATTAGACTTCCCCTAGTTATGCTGTTATATATGACTTATAGATATATGCTATAACTTGTCATTACTTAAAATGTTTAAGTGTCCTGCATCATTGAAATGCTTATTTTGTGCAAAGCCAGTAGTAACACAGACACAGTTCATAGTTACATATTTTGTCAGTTTTTGTGGGGGAAAAATTCATTAATGAATAGCAACAGAAAGCACGTGGTGTACTCAGTTCAGTAAAACATGGTGCATAGCTTCATAAAGATCAGCATCTCTTTCATTTTGGAAGATATCTGTTTTAACTGTACAATATCACAGAATCTTTCCTGTGTGTTGTAGCACTAAGTGGCTCTACAACACACACACACACACAAATTCACACCTACACTCCTGTGTACTCATCAGACCAAGACATTTTTCACACCAGTTTGCATTAGAGTCAGATGATGTCATCCTAACTCTCTAATGAATCAGTGCAATCAGAGGTGCTAACGAACAAACTCAGGCATGATGCCACCTTCTCACTTCAACACCTGATGCAATCATTGCCAAGAGACTCAGAGTTCATGCAGGTAAACAGCTGTTGAGGTCACCTATACTCCCTCTTGGCTGCATTCAGCATTATGAAGATAATCGAGTTAAACATAGTTTGCATAGAAACTTTCCAGGGCTTGCTGTAAGATATCATTTTACAATCATTAAACACACACAATACCTTACTCAGAGAACTATATACCAATAAAAAAACTTTAAAAATATGTATAATATACATAATTAATTAGTTTGGGTCAGAAACATATTCTCCAACCTCTACAAATTGCAAAAAAACCATTGATATGACACATTACAGTGAAAGTCAGTGTAGTGCAAGACAAAACTCTTTACCTTCAATACCTTTTTATTTGCATATTTTAGTGAATAATATTTTGAAAAACAGGCCATCAATATAGACCAAAGTATCTGACAATCTATAGTATCTGACAATCTGGATTGAAGTCTTACCTGCACCTCACATTCATCATATCCATTTAGCTTATTGAGTTTGGTTCTAATTGTTCTCCTGCCTCAAAAAATATAAACAAGTTGATGACTACACACAGCGGATTTAAGTTTAAATTGCATTAGCTCACTCATTTTTATTTGCCAGTCGCCAGTTCACACTCATGTCATTCTTTCAGTATGTTCCCATTGTTTAGTGTCAGTAACTTGATTTGGATATGTCATCCACATGTTCCATGCTTGTATTAACAGGCAACATTGACACGACACCGGTAAAATTGAAAAATGTGGTTTCAATAGATCTCATATGACATGTATGTGATATCAAAATATCTGTTCTCCAGTCAGCTTTCTTCTGCACTGCTCACCTGAAAAACAATATGGTCGCTTGCTTCTAATTTTGCCATGGTTTTGATGTTGTCAGGTTTGCTCTTCGCCACCTGTCTCTCTCCTCTCCCTCTCTCTCCCTTCCTCTCCTCAGACTCAGGCTCCCTGGAATGTTTCACAGCTGTGGTGAAATTGCTGGTGACCAGCCTCACTACTTAAGCCCCAGGCAGACACAAGATCGCTGCAGATTCTCAGTCATCCAGGTCATAGTAAGCTGAAAAAACTTTGAAAAATCAACTGGACTTGGTTTTTAGGTCAAAGACGTTTCACCTCTCATCAGTTCTGCCTGACTGGCATTGAGTCGAAGGTATTTATTCCCATTTGTGGTGTTTCAGTCTTTTGAAGGCCAACAATGTCCAATAACGACTGAACCATTATAGCCCAGTATCGGTGAGCGTCGTTACCTGCCTTTGAACCCTCACCTGTGGGCCAATGTCTGTTGTCCTGGTGGGCATGTTTGGGCAGAGATCTCAAAACAGAGTTATAGTTGTGTCTTAGTCCACCAAGTGGAGGTGGACTGCTGACTCTGGTCCACTGGGGTTGGCCCTCCTGTGCTGGGCCATGCGTTTGTGCAGTGGCTGGGTTGGTTCACCAATGTACAAGTCGTTACACTCCTGACTACACTTAACTGCATACAACACATCACTCTGTTTATTCCCTTCCTCTCCTCAGACTCTGGTTCCCTGGAATGTAACACAGCTGTGGTGCATTTGCTGATGACCAGCCTCACTACCTACTGTAAGTCCCAGGCAAATGCAAGATCTCTGCCAGTTCGTTGTGAATCGCCACTCACAAAGTCTGGCTCCTCTACTCGTCTACAGAACCAGCATTTCGAACGTCTACTAACTTCTCAAGTAATGGAGACTGTTTATATCTCCTGCACTCTCATCTCCAAGCGTCTCCTGGTTGAGAGGCTAGCTTGCTCTCGGCTACCCAGCTACACTACAACTGTGACAACCAGCACTTGTCTCTGCCCCTGCAGTCAGCCTTATTTCCCCAGCAGCAATTCACCTGCACTGGCACCATGTCCTCAGGGCCCGTCCTCCTCTGCTACTCTCCAGACTCCTTCCTCTGTGCTATGCACCGCCCTCAATCCTCCAGCAGCAACTCACCAGCACTATCTCATCTGGGCCAATCCCTCGCGCTATATCCAGAACCTGACTCTCAGCCTCACCAGACGACCACTGTCTGAACCAGGAGCTCTGCCACTAGCCCAGGAGGAGGACGACGTGGCTTTGTTCCCAGGTCTCTGTGAGTCCTTTTTCAGCTCATTCTCCCTCATCATTTTCTCTCTCTTGTGCTCCTCAGAGACTGTGTCCCAACTCCTGGTCTCCATTGTCAGAGCTTAGACATTCACGGACACAGGCCCACTGACTCTGCTGCCAAAACTGACCTGGGTGAACTCCCTCCTCGCCACCAGTTCAGAGATATAGCCATCTTATAATAAAGCCTCTGTCTCAATTTAACCATACTCTGCAGTTTGGGTCCAGCTTTCTTCCTCTCTCGCTGCAGCCGTGACAGAACGAATTGGCCAAACTATGGACCCAGCAGGTACTGGTTCTGGTAATCCACCGTTGCACCCAACCATCACCAGGTACGGGGTGCAGATAGATCATCTGGGGCAGATGCTTCAACAGCAGATGAAACACATCACGGCTCTTGCCCAGCAGGCAGCACAACTCTCCACATCTCTCATTCACCGACTGGCTTACATCACACTGCCACTAACTGCCACACAAGCCCTACATCTATTTTCTGAAGTATTTTGTCACTGTTTATTCAAATATCTCAACATCAGTTTATGTTATTGTAGTATTTCTGTAAGTAAAGCTAAATTCAATTTAATTAAATTCAGTTCACTTATGTTGTCTCTCAAAGGCCATAACTGCTTCTGTAGTCACTAGAGTCCATGCATCAGCCAAAACAAACCAACAGCAACCTGTTACACCAGAAAGAAAAAGGGTTTCAGAGAGTGATGAAGATTATGATGCTTAGTGATGAGGAGGAAGTTCAGTATCTATGAGAGAGACTGAAAGACAGCAGAGGAGGGAGGAGGAGGAGTGATGAGAGAGATAAATCAGCTGTATGACACAGAACATTGCTCAGAAAGCTGAGAGTGTTCAGCTGCTTCCTTTCTCCTCCTCTCTCTCTCTGATGATGGAGGAAACTGAACTCTGCTTTCCACAACTCCTCAACATGTCTTGCAAAAAGCACACACGTCCTTACACTGAGACAATGATCATATACATTGTGTTTTCCTCCATTTCTCTGTTGACTGCGTCTCTCAACCTGCTGGTCATCATCTCCATCTCCCACTTCAGGCAGAGATAAATGTCTTAGCACTGATAATGTATTGTTGTAATGAGATTCAATCAGTGATCTCTGAGCATTACATCCTGGTGGTTTAATGAGACTTTGGTTAATAAGCAGTGCTGACAACATTTACTGTTTAGATAGATGTGGTTGGAACTCTTATAATAGCTTTCATAAAACAACTACTTCCTTTGGTAATAATGCTGTGGCAGTATTGACAGTGATGATATTCTCTCACTGCAGGCAGCTCCACACTCCCACCAACCTCCTCCTCCTCTCTCTGGCTGTTGCTGACTTCCTCGTCGGCCTCTTTGTGATGCCATTTCAAATCCTCTTAACGGAACCCTGCTGGTTCCTGGGCGACCTGGTGTGTGTTCTGTTTTATTTCTTACCCTTTATCACTGTCTATGCCTCAGTAGTAAACATGGTTCTCATATCAGTTGACCGTTATGTGGCTATCTGTGACCCTCTGCGCTACCCCACCAAAATCACTCAAAAGAGAGTTCAAGTCTTTATTCTCCTGTGTTGGATTTATGCTGTTTTTTGCAACTTTATGATTTTATATGATAACTTGAAACAACTAGGCAGGTATAACTCCTGCTATGGAAAATGTGTGATTACCATAAATGGAGCTGTTGACATGGTGTTGTTCTTTATCCTTCCCATCACTGCCATCATCATTCTGTATATGAGAGTGTTTGTAGTGGCTGTGTCTCAGGCCCGTGCCATGCGCTCCCACATTGCAGCTGTCACACTGCAGTGTTCAGTGACTGTAACTGCTAAGAAATCAGAGATGAAAGCAGCCAGGACTCTTGGTGTCCTTGTTGCTGTGTTTCTCATGTGTTACTGTCCATCTTATTGTGTCTCTCTCTCTAACTATGACATCATGATTGGTTCTTCAAGTACGGTTGTTGTGATTTTTCTGACATATCTTAACTCATGTCTAAACCCAGTGATCTATGCCTTTTTCTACCCCTGGTTTAGAAAATCAGTTAAACTCATTGTTACACTTGAGATACTGCAGCCTAACTCCTGTGAGGCCAATGTACTGTAGAAAGAAACTGTGGAGAGACTGAGAAGAGACACATGGCCTTTACTGTGAAGGGAAAAATGTGTCTTTATGACCTTTTGCTAATGCACTGAAGGGACAAGGACTCATTCTGTTTGAAAAGCTAAACTTTATCATTCTTATCTTTAACCTGTTAATGTTGTCCTTATATACAGTATGATATTTAATGAAGTCCCTCTTCACAACATGTACTGTGGCAATTCATGAACTGTTCAATTATTCTATACATCCTGTAACCTTTGCAGAAGAGTCTCTCATTGCCATAGCGGGGTTTTTTGATTGTATAAAATTGTATTTGTTTTTTGAAACAGTTTTGTCCTTCATAACCATCACAATAAAATGAAGCTTTTCCTTTCAGTGTTTTTATTTTAAATGAATTTTCATGGCATGGAGAACAGATGAGCCAGCAGGCAGACTGAGAGAAAGAGGGAGTATAAATACACAAGACACCAGAGGAAAACGAGGGACAGATGAACACAATGAGTGGTGATTGTAGAACAGAGTAAAGCTGGGGCAGGTGAGATGACAGCAAAGTAACCAAAATAAAAGCCTCAAACAGGAAACAAGTTCACGAATCATAACAGTTTAGGTGTATGTAGGGACTGAATCTATGTCAAGTGCCTGGGAAAAACTATCTGTAAGAAAAGGAAAACAAAGGGTTAAGGCACAAATACATAGATAGTCACAGGGTTTATAACTGACCAATTTCAGACCTCGTACCTTGGTATTAAATGCTCACATTTCTGTAAAACTAAAGAGGAGGATAATCATTAGAAAAGTAGCTATATGCACATGCACTGGGCTCAACCTGTAGCAGGTCATTGTTTGGTTCAAGATGAACACTATGGAAAACTGTACACCTCTGTTGTGTCCACCATATGGCACTCATTAATTAGGTTATTATGGGACTTGCTGCAGTGGCTCCTGCTGGTGCTCTGTGACAAACTACTGATAATTAAACCTGGCCACAACATTAAAACCACTGGCAGGTGATGAGAATAACACTGATTATCTTGATTTAAGGGCACCTGCCAATGGGTAGGATAATCTAGGCTTCCTTCAAGATGGTGCCGGTGTGCATGGCTCACCATCTGACCCTTTGTTTGTGTTGTACCTGTTAAGTGATGTGATATCCTCTGTGGTCTAGAACCATCAATCACTTTTGGACATATGATCAGCTTAAACTGTACTCCTCCCTCATATATTCTCCATCTTTTACATCTCTATGTTCCCACTAGAATGCTTAGGTCTAAGGACCAGACGCTTCTAATAGTACCAAAGGGCTGTCTAAAATCTAGAGGTGAGTGTGCCTTTTCTTTTGTGGCCCCTACTGTGTGGAATATCCTTCCTCTCCATATTCAAATGGAATCCTTTCTATTTGTTTTTAAATGTCAGCTTCAAACTTACTTTTGTTCCCTTGCTTTTAATCAATGTTAAGTTTTAGTACACGGCGTCATGAGCATATAACCGTAGTTCTTGCCTCACTCCATTGACTTCCTGTTTGAGGATTGATTTTAAATTGTTGTTGCTTTTTTATAAGGTGGTGCATGGGATAACACTTTCATATATCTCTGAGCTTGTACATATTTATGCTCCAGAGAGGACACTTAGGTTTTCCAATTATTGTTCTTGGATGTTCCTAAATCCAGACTAAAACATTGGTGAGGCCGGATATTAGCTGCAAATTTGGTCATATGTTTCATAGTGTTTACTCAGCATTGTACTGTTGCCACTTATGTACTGTAACACCGGCTAGGTCAAGGAAGCATCTGGAGACCAGAGCTTGTCTTTTCATCTTTTATTCACACACACCAACACATACCAACAGCACTCTGAACTCTGGCACAACACTGCACACTGAAAACCCCACAAACTATATATGCACTGCCCCAGGCATTATGGGGCATCCCGCCAAGTGTCTCTCTGCCCCCAGCACTACAGAGCCCATACCTGTCCTCAGTAACCTCAGTCAGAGCAAAGTCTCTTACATGTTGGGGACGGCCTGCACTGGTGCTGAGGCTACTCTGGTGGCTCCTGGGTGGCTGGTGGAGAGGGGTCTGGAGCTCATTGCTGGCTCCCATTGTCTGACTCTCCCCCCTCAGGTGAAGCCATGGGCTGATGTGGTGCGAGTCTGTGCCCATGAAGCACCATCTGGTTCCACGTACTCAGTTTCACCCTGTACATAACATCTGACAGTCTTTTCAGTACAGTACAGGGTTTGCTCCACTGGTTCACTGACTGTGGGGACAAACCCTTCTTCCGTCCAGGGCTGCACACCCTCACCAGCACACCAGGGGCAAAGTTCTGGGCCCATGTCTGGCGAGGCCTTGCCTCTTCCTGTCCCCCCTCTTCTACGTTAATCTCCCAGAACAATGTCATCGTCTCTGGAGATCCCACTTCTGACACCTATGTAACATTGGCTGGGTCAAGGAAGAGTCAAAAGACCAGAGCTGGTCTTTTTCTCATTTATTCACACACACCAACACATATCAACAGCAAACACACTGCCCCAGGCATTGTGATGCATCCTGCCAAATGTCTCTCCACCCCAAAAGATATAATATTTTTCTCTTTACATTCTTGCATGTGAGCTGCATTATTTGCTGTGTTTTTTCCAGAACTGTCATTGATTAGCATTGAGGCCTCCAAAACATTTGAGACTGTTTATTAGCTTCACTTAATGCTAGCATGGACGAGAGGAGAGTAGATGGAGTTTGTGTGAGACCTATGGTGTAAATTGCTTCTGGGCACTTTAAGAGGGAGCTCTGGAGTGGCTTTGGGGACTGCAACACACACAATGTCATCACTGAAGTCTCAGGAATTATCACACAAGAGGAATCTGCTCATGTTAGCATGTGGGCCTAGCTGGATGACCAGCTTGTTCACCAAAGCTGAACCGAAAAACACTATACAGATGTTTACCAAAGAGACACCACAGTCTTGGTATCACAAAGGAATTCTTAGTACTGGCATAACACACAAAAGGTGTTTTCACATGAGCTCCAGCAACGGTATGGTAATTAAAATCCCAGGTGTTTGAACTGGACATTTTTTCTTTCTTTTGTTTTCAGAGAAAATCAGGTACTCTAATTTACTTCTGTCACATTCAATAGTACATGTTGTTGGATCCGTGCTGGTTCCTTTTCTCACATATTCAGCGTTCTTCTATTCTTCTCTTTCTGCCAACTCCTTGTACTGTTTCTCTCCTTTTCCTCGAGATCCATTTCTGCATCCCATATAGTCTGTATTCTCCTCCACACCCCCACTTCCATCCCCCCAGAAACCTTCTGGTTCTCCTTCCATCAGGCCGGGTGTGATAGAGGCATACAGGTTTACCATCAACTCCTCTAGGTACCCTTCTTCCTTCACCGGAAAGGTCACAGGTGCAGTTCCTTCTGAATCATGCAACTTGTTCTCATCTTCTTTTGGCCTGTTTGTTGTCTCCTTGAACTTCTCTTCCTTGAATAGTGGCCATTCTAGTATTTCTTATAAATATTCTTGTTGTTCCTGTGGGACTTCTAATTGTAAAGAGAATCACACACCTTCGTTAATGCTGACTATCACGTAACAGTGTTGTTGGCGCTACGCTTACATGATGGCCTCTTCACCTATGTTGCTATCTTGCTCTCTGGTGTGGGTGAGTCAGCTA